TCGTTTTCGCAAAAAATGTTTGAACTGGGTAGGAGTTGATTTAAGGGTCATCCTCTCGTGTGTTGATGTATTTTTGAGTCCTATATATGTGATGAAAATTTCAAGTCATTGCCTCGAGCCTTGTCTTGTGACGTTTGATATTTGTTTAAGTATTAAGTTTTGAAAACCCTATTTGGAACCTTCGTACAGTTTGTTGTTCATCGCTGTATTTGACCTTCGAAACTCGACCAAACTTTTTTGAACTCTTCTGATGAATTAAAATTCAATCTCTTATGTTTCATCTCGAGCAAAAATCATGCTATTATCATTTTTATTCTGAGAGTTGTGGCCAATGTTTGGCAATGGCTCGTCCAGTTTTTTTTGTATTACCGGTAGTGCATGTAGTCTGTTTTGCTTGCTGTTTTTGGGTACTGCAACCTTATCATCTCTTTTTATAGTCTTCTGATAAATTGTAGTTCCAGGAGTTATCTTTCTTGTGGAAAAAGAATCGAGTGTTTACCGTTTTTATATATCGAAAATTTTGTCGACAATTTGATCATTGCGCAGTCAGTTTTTTGTTTTAATCGCAGAAGTTGAGTCTGTCATTTTTGCTGTTATCATCTTTTTATGACGTTAGTGATTTATATATATTTGGATGGTGTGATCAATGTATGCATGCGAACCATGTTTTATTCGATGTAAGCTGTATCGGCCGTCGAACAGTTATCCCTGTCGATGTAATACAGGCTTAATGAGAGGCAGTCTCCCTAAGTCCTATTGATAGGTCATGTCGATGTGAGACCCATGGCGAGGCCTTCGACATGTACTCCTACTGTTTGGGTGACGATGTGAGACTAATGGCGAGGCCTTCGAAAAGACCATCAGTAGCTAATGATAGATATGCACATGAGTATTATGATGACTAGGAGATGGGATATTTGGTTGATTCGTTTTCATTCTGCGACCATACCTAGCTATCTGTATACGTGATTTGTGTGCATAGTAGTGAGCAAGTGGTTGTGCTCACCCCATGTCCCCCCTCCCCCCCCAATTTCAGGTTGAGCAGGTGGCTGGTACGACGGGCGAAGACGAGTGGTGGTCAACCACATGTTAAAATTGACCTTTTATGAATGTATTTGATTTTATTATGAACTCTTGACATTGATGTGTTTTGATGAATTGATGATATTGATGTTTATTTTGGATAGACGTGATGATACGTCGGATTGATGAATGTTTTTGGAAAAACCTAATGAGTGGTTTATGATTATGAAACCTGATGAAAGGTTTATGGACGATGATTGATATTGATGAAATGTGTTTGATAAATAGGATAATGAAATCCTTTCCGAAAATTTGGGCGATGAGTTTCCATTAGTTCAAATATGAATTGAACTGCATTATGAAATGAATGAGTAACGCCATTAAATATTTTAAGTCGAAAAATGAATTTAAAAAATTTACCCTGATTTTTGGATAAGTCGCAGATTATTCCTTAAAATTAAAGTGGGCCTTACAGTGTGGTATTAGAGCCAGCTTTACGATTGTGTAGACTGATTTATGTGAAACATGTGATTATATGCTTATGAATTGTTAATGACCACTCGTCTACGTCGTGCCGCACCAGTTCAAGGCATGTTTTTACATAAGTAATAATGATATTGCTTATGTTATGATATTGATGTATATTTGATGTGCTATTAACCGGGGCTTCGGAATTTACCCTCCGTATGTATGAACTTGAACTCTAGTGGTATAAAGTTAAATTCTGACTTTAGAGGTTTGTTGTTATGAGTTCTGGTATGGTATTGTCGAGTTAATCTCAGGCTTAGCAGTTCATTCGCTATAAATTCTGCTTAGTGTCTCCAGGTGAGGAACATTCGTAAACTATCTTGAAAGAGAAGGGTTTAGGAACCGGGCAAGTCCCTAGTGTGTGGGATTTGTTATTACCTAGTCAATGAGGACCGAGAGTGGGGTTTAGGTTCCACGTTCATGTTTCTGATCGACCCTATAAATTATGGAGAGTCTGATGCATTTTACTGTCGGGACTCTCGAGAGTGGCTAAGCCTCGAGAGAGACGATCAATGTCAATTCTTCTGCGAAAATTCTTGAATGAAGGAATTCGACGTTGTTCTTAGAGCGGATAGGCCGGTTAGACACTGCACGAACATCCTAAGCCAAGATTGCGAGGCGATACTTCAAGCTTGAAGGAGACGACAAAATTTTTTTTCCGTGTATCAAGTCAAGAGTGATGCCCACATGTTGAGGAGTATGAAGGACCTTTTAAGGAGGGAAGTCGAGCCTGATGCAAGCACATCGAGAGGTGCAGAGACGTCTTCATTCTTAAGTTTTGTTCATTATAGTCTTTGAAAGTTCTCGTTCTTTTATTTTCTTTCAGCGTTTCGGGAGGAATATTTTGTTTCTTGGACTTTTGCAATCCTTTGAAAACTCTCATTTTTAGTACGTATGGAGTTTCGAGTTCAAGTTATGTAACCTATTAATTAAGACCAGTACTTTCAGTTTTCCGCTCGTCTTGTATCTTTCTTTCGGTTGTGGTTATGTCGTTCGGTCTAGGTATTCCATTCATATCCGGGTCAGTTTGTCATGGTCTTTATCGATGACGTCCTGGTTTACCTTTAAAACGCGATCAAGATGAATCAACCGACTGACGACGAAGGGTGATCAACTGTTACCAAGGAGTTAGGACCAGTTCGACCAACGAAAGTGACTGGGGCAGTCTCGAAGATCGATTCGGGACCTAGCTACCACCAGCGGAAGATTAAAGAAGGTCCGACAGATCAATGGAGGCTTTTCGATGAGATTTCAATACCTGAAATTCTTAGCAATGTAGGAATTGAGCTTGTTTAAGGCTGCTGGCACGACTAGCTACTTAGGAAGGAGCTGACGTGGCGGCCGACACGGTTTGTCGGAAGAGTCAGACGAGCTAATCACTTCGTTATTCGGCAATGCCCGCTGGTTAGGATTATTCCTGGCTGGGCAGCCGATGTTCGATCTCTTTTGAAATCTTCTCGTATTTCTATCGTTAGATATTTGCTTGTTTAATTGTGTCAATTTGGGAAAAAGGTGGTGAGCTTGGAACTCGGTTTTATTCTTTATTTTGATTTGAAAGCCTTGAAACATTCGATATTGTTTAGCACTAAATGCCA